GATAGTCCACATATCCATTTCCTAAAACCAGAAAGATTTCCCTGTCTGCATCTTTTGTGTCATGTCTCCGTACAGCCTAGACCTCACCCAGTCTCATCCTTCTGCAGTGCTTCTCCAGTTGACTGCTTTTGATCATAGTTTTTATTCATAGCAATGTCCTCACTGATGCTTTAAAATTACAGCTGACTGTTTAATGTTAACTGAGTTACCAGGCAAGCGGCGATTCTACTTCAGCTACGGTAATGTTGTTTTCAAACTTTCTCCAACTAATGAGTCATTAAAAGTAGTAATAAAGGGGTTTGTTGGGGCCACATGTCCCTTGGAAACACTCAGTCCATGCTAATTACAGTGGGTTAGCAAAGAGGTGGAGGCTGATAAGTGTGTGGGAGGGGGTACAGAACAGTAATGGTGAGAGTTGAAAATAGTTACAGGAAATGTTAATTATAGAGCTTGTTCACATCAGCTTTCCCCTCCCATTGAAAACAAAGCTCATTTTGAAGACATTTGTAAAAGTTGCTCTTTAGGAATCGAACTCCCTTATGTCTCAGTAACTGGTAACGTGCCAGAAACATGAAACTGCGGTAGAGTAACCGAAGAACTCATCTGTGCACAGTTGGTTTAGTCTCAGTTGAAGCTGGAAGTAAGATTTTGCATGGCTGTGGTGTCACATTAGGGCCAGTGCACAGCTTTGCTCTGTGGACCTAATCCAGTTTCTGAAAAGGACAGGGGAGATTTTTCCACTGACTTCCATGACCTTTGGAAGTCTGCTATTGATTTGTTATCGTTCCTGAAGAGCCAGGGACTGTGTTACACACAGATAGTGCACTTCCTCAAGGACCTTTGCATCTTAAAGGCCCTGTTCTGCAGTTATCAAAATATGCAAGTACATTTATGTGTGTGACTGAGCAAAGCTAGTAACGCGTAGATGTTGGCATGGATGTTAAATTCTAATAAAAGATGACAGTGAGGAGAAGGTACACAATAAAAATAAGATGGTGAGAGATGTGCAATTAACAAATTCTTACCTTATAACTAAGTAGTACATATCTGTGTAGTTCATGTTGCTAAGAGATTGCATTATATCCACTATCCAAAGCAGCAGAACATTATAGCATAGAAGTTGGTTCTTTTCTGGTTGGCCTTAGCCAAACTCCAGAGCCAAAATTTTTTTAGGGTGTATGTAAATCTGACAGATAGTTAACTTCAGAACTTGTGCTTATGTGTGTTTCATAGTCACAAAACTGTCAAATCACAAATGGCAGGTGGTCTTCTGATGTCTGTAGGAGAAAGAATGTTGTACTTAATTGTGGTATGTCTGCAACACTGCAGAATACAGGAAGAAACTGAGAGGGGTGAAATTTTCATCCGGATACTGAGAGAAAATGTACTTTCAATTAAAACAAAAATCTGAGTGAATTTTTTTTGCAAGATTGGAATATTGTTTTGAGTTACTTAAAAAGAGTAGGAGAACTCTTAAAATATGTAATCTTTTTCCTCAGTGAAAACCCTCTCTTTCCTTTTTTTGAGTGACAGTCTTTTATGCAAGTAATAGAATGACTGAGTAATTTTCTCCATTGAAAGTAAATGCTAGCTTTTGAAAGTTTTAAAGGGAAAATTTAATATAAAATAGAGAAAAGCAGGATTTTTGTTCCCTTTTGGTATATAGTCTTATTGAATAAAGTTTTGAGATCCCTACCAGGTGCAAGTTCTAACCTACCTGCAAAATTTCAGTGATAAATTTTATTCTTTCCTAGATTGCACTTGTAGCTCTATCTCCAAGTCTTTTCAGAGATAGTGTAGCTCCATGAGCCATTTTTAGCATAATCAGAATAATCACGTAGGTGCAGGAACCCCAGGATTAAAGAGAACTATAACTAGCTATAATGAGACAAATATCTGTGGAAGGTTAAAAGAATCCTACTTCATCCTCTTGGGACTTCTGTCAGGGCTGTCACTTTTCTGGCTAGTTGGCAATGATGGCTGGATTTTTATGGTGCCTCAGTAGCAGATTTGCTGGCTCTTTTGACTGTTATATACATGGGAAATATGATGCAGAAAATGTCCTGTATTCAGTTCTGTTTCCAGGGTCATCCTCTGAGTTTCTAGGATTTTCAAACCCAGGTCATTGACAGAAGCTGAGGACTTTCAACTCATGTTTCAGTCTCCAAATTATTGTGTTTTCTGTTCATGGACATGTCAGGCCAGCATCAGGACCTGTACATGTGCTTCTCTGAATGGAAATCGGTGTCTTGTCCTTTAAACTGGCTACTGGACTACACAACTTGGAAGGGGATCTTTCACATGTGGTCCTACCCCTGTCCAGGAATCCCTGAGAGCATTTCTGTCATTTTCCAGAGACCTTTTGCTGGAGTAACAAAGTTTGGGGTTTTTTTAAAGTAATTTAAATGGATCAGAGCTCTCCCAGTATCTGCTTACATTGTGCCTCTCCCAGCCAGGCGAGTGCATTTTCAGCAGCTCCAAACTGAGGCAAATTTTAAAAACTGCAGGCATGATAATAATGACGTGATAAATCTGATTTACTATAAAGTGCTGTCAGTTCAGGCTTGTCTTTAAAACAAACAAACAAAAAACCCCAACAAAACAACTCAAACCCAATAGAAATAATTCCTTTAAAAAATCATAATAGTGATAGTCTTGCTTTTAAACAGATGACTAGCCCCTGGCAGAACTTGGTATCTTTGAATATACTGGAGCACTCAGAACCTAAACTACAGAAGATGGAAAAGTTAGAGTTACATAACATCAGTTGTGCTAGCTTTTCATTGGCCACACTGAGAGGAGAGCAAACTCTCTCCTTTTTAATAAGTGATTGATTTATTGATAATAAAGTGCATCTGGGATTTACACAGAATGGTAGACTTTATAGGCAGTAACCTAATAGCTTGAACCAGCTGTTTGCAGCTGCACATTAAAAACTTTGACCTTGGGCTTTCATGCTTCTCTCCCTTCCCCACCTTGGCTTTCTTGTAGCGGCCACAGCAGCATCCTTGTCTTGCAGGAGCTGTGATGCATTTTTTGCTGTTGCCCATGTTTACCCACTTGGTATTTTTTTCTTTCCTGTTTTTCACTTGTTTTGGACTTTTTATAGTAAGTGGTGGTAGTCTTGTGTAGCGTATTCCTTGAGGTTTAAGAAGCATTCGTTCATTGCTGCAAATGGTACATGAAATGGTGTTCTTTAGAGAAATCTTTTTTTTCCCTTATAAAATGAAACCCGAACATATACAGAAAGTGTGCTGAAGGAATTTGAAGTGTACGGAATGTTCCCAGCTATCTCATCTGTGGATTTCTTCAGCACTTGTTAATTAGAAAACCCCTGTCAATAGAGGAGGTCAGCCACTTGTCACATATGTTAAAGAGCATATTATCTCCAAAGTTAGAAATTGTTTGATAAACCATGTGTTGATCAGCCTGGCAGCATCTAATTCAGTGAAACTCACTGAGATGATTATTTATTCTTGTTCAGGGTAACTAAACCATATGGCAAAACTAACTTCTATAACTGAGGAAGTGCTCTGAGGCACTGAGTAGGGAAACAATCGTATTTAAAAGGAACACTCAAGGCACTTAATGTGTCTTGATGGTATTGAGAAGGAAATTGTCAGTGAAAAACATGCTCATTTGCTTATTGTGGTGGTTTAACCTGGCAGGCAGCTAAAACAACCACACAGCTGTTCACTCACACCCCCCCCGCAGTGGGATGGGGGAGAGAATTGAAAAGAAAAAAAGGTAAAACTTGTAGGTTGAGATAAAGACAGTTTAATAGGACAGAAAAGGAGGAGGAGGAGGATGATAAGAAGAAGAATAGAATATACAAAACAAGTGATGCACAGCACAGATGCATAATTTTGTGTATCATACAGGTAGATTTTAAAAGGGAATCTATATGTAAATCATCCTTCCACTTCGGTAGCAAACCTGTTTTATGTATGAACACGTGCTGACCACCAGCATGCAAGAAGATTGTGCCTAGAAAAACACCTTTGATGTTAATTTGTTTAATTTTATTTAGCTTGGGTTGGGTTTATGTTTTTTTATTCTATTATGGTATGTTTGCACAATGAATAAGGACACCCAAAGTTGACTGTTGATGTTTATTGAATCATTCATATCAAATAAACACTTTTGGGAGTCTGACCATGGAAAGTAAAAGCATTCCTTTAAGAAGGGAGAAATCAGAAATCCTTATTGGAAGAAAAGGATGCCTGCATGTTTAATTTTTAAATGTCTGAGGAGAAGGCATAATTTCAAGTGGCATGACTGAAATGTGGACACACCAGGGTGGGAGTTCTAGTATGGGGTGTACACAGTCAGGTTCTCAACTTGGGATTTTGAGATGCTCTGGGATGCATTAACCCTTTGCACTGTGCAGCCTCTTAGATGAAAAGGGGTTTTATATGCCAGTTCCAAGTCAAACTATGAAGTCAGTCATCTAATCTGTTCCAGTTGGAACAGTTCCTATCTGTTCAGTGCTTATGTCTGGACAGATTGTAGTGCACAAGGGTTCAGGTCTCATTAATATATCATTTAGAAGTGAAAACCTATTCAATTTCATTTTGAAATAATTGGCATATGTTGTTCTTTTTTCTCCCTCTCTATTTACTGATTTCACTGATGTGAGAGGAGACCATATAGTTACTCTAGTAGCCTCAGAACAGATATTTAAGAGCCTGTTTTAGTCATTTGGGAACAGAAAATTTATACACATAGTGGGATTATTCTGGGGTCTCGGCCCATAAGGAAATGAGCACTGTTAACTTCATAAAGTGGGGGAGCTGAAGACTCTAGTACTTGCCGGTCACATTCACCTGGGTCATTTAGTTCCTTTACTTTAAGTGTGTGACAAAGCCATTAACTTAAATGAGAACACTAATGCAGATAGGTGCAGAGGTCAGCAGCAGGAGGCCAAAAGGGAATGAACAGATTTTTTTAGTGATCTGGCAGTTTACTTCACCAAATGCAAATGATACACAATTATTTTCTCATTCCTCTGTTTCACTCTCCCATGCTGATCTCTTTCCTGGGTGCTGACGGTTTTTTTCTACCCTGTCTTTGCTAACATTTTCTACTAAATCAAGCAACAAGCTGCCTTTGTTACAGGTGAAGGACTCCTGAAAGTTGGACAGGCCTGCATCATCTGGGCTGTCAGAATTCCAGTGCCTTTTTCCAGGGTGCTGGTGTTTCTCACCATATTGGTCATTTAGGTCTACCTCATCGTTCCAGCCTCTTTTGTTAGGATGCTGGTGCTTGTACATCAGATACCTTCTGCCTGGATGCTGTCTTTTGGATAGCTCATTCAAGTAGGTTAGCTGTGTACTCGGGATGTCAGCATGCTGATCCAACAATGACCTTCTGCCAGGATGTTGTCGCTTTTTCAGCTCCAGATAGCCATCAATGTTGTCTTCTATCTCTCTTTTCCCTGGATGCTGCCTCTTCAAAATGTGTCCGTAAGATGTATCTTCCTCAACATCTCTTTTTCCAGGATGCTGTCTCTTCTGCAGGTCACTTAAGTATTTTTTCCCAGGGTGTTGTCTTTTGGAAAGCCATTCTGGCAGAGGGGCATTGGATTCTGTCCAAGGAAAAGAATAATGTTAATGAGCTTCCATAATCCTCACTAAGGAAGTTGAAATGGGAATTTGTGGAGTTCTATGGTGCAGGATCATAATCTGTTGCTTATTATGCCCATTTAATTGTACAGTTAACAGTATGGTCTTGAATTTGATCATTCTGGGTGGCATCTGTCAAAACTGTTCTGGCACATTTTTAGCACATTTTTAGCAAGGATGGATTAACACATTAGGAACTGGCTGTAGCCAAATGGGAAGACAGGCAATGACAAAGCCTAATGTGTTGATTCAGGTAAATGTGTCAGATTCAGGTAAAGGTGATGAGTAAAAGATGCTAAGCAGCTGGAAGAAATCAGCTACAGAAGCTGGGTATAGGAAAGAGCGGGAAATCGGCATGAGACAGGGCAAGGATAGGGCTGAGACACCAGTAGAAGCAGGGATGTTGACATTTGAAAGCCATCTCAGTATTTCCAACTACTAATCGTAACTTTATTAGTATCTCTTACTCATTCTGAAGCTCTTATTGGTATTTCATGTCTTGGATGGTGATAACCAACTCTCAGCATTCATGTGAAGAGGGACGAAGGCTCTTTCCATGAGCACTTGGGGCCAGGTCCTCTTTCTGCTCTGAAAGGGCTCTGTGCTCCTTGTTAGTGCCAGGCACCTATGTGCTGCTCCTTGCAATCCCTGAGTCTGATTTGCTTCCACTGCTGTGACTAGTGAGAGCAGTGCACCTGCAAGCTAGGAGGCAGCAGACACTAGAGCAGCCTCTGCATTCCCAGCCACAGAAAAGCCCGCCTCTCTTGGCATGTAGAAACCAGTGGGTTGAGGTAGTGATGAATGGCAGCACTCCCACCTCCAGTTAACGTTAGGTACAGGGTCCACAACTGGGGAGTGTCCTCCACTTGTCCTCTTAGAGCTTCCCTAGGGAAGTACTTGCCAGGGAGACAAATTTTCTGTGGCTGGCTTCTACCTTCTTATTATGCAGCAACTGCTCAGTGATGGTACAGCATTGCCTAAATGGGGGGATCTTAGAGAAGAAAGTATCTTTTGAGAACTCCGTGTCACTGTATTGCAGCAGACATCCTATCCTTCCCCTCCCCTTAGAGTAATAAATGTATACACATTAGAACCTGGTAACTATACATTGGATCTAATGATCTCAGCCAAGTACTATGCCAGCATCACCAGATGGATGTCCTCAGTGTTATATATACCTTTATTCATCTCTTCTTCCTTTTCAGCTTTCTTGAGGACAGACTGAAGAAGGAGGTTTTCAGATCTCTGCAGGATGTCATCCAGGGGACTGCTTCCCATGTTCTCACTTCCCTCTGGAAGGGGCTGCCCCTCATTGAGGCAAACACCACACAAGGTCAGGCAGAGGAGTAGCAGTGGCAGCTGGATAGATGGCATTATAGGACAGGGGTTCCTGCAACTTCCATGGGAGAGAGAACAGCAGGGGAGGAGGATGGAGCAAACAAACCTAGCAATAATAGCAATATTTCCAGACACTGAAAAAGAAATATGGCACTGCTGTAGGGATTGAAGTCTCTTATGAGGATCCTTCCTCATTTTTGTTACTAACCTCTCAGTTTACTTTATATTCTTCAAAGAATCTGTAAATTCTTCATAATTAAAACCAGGCACTTGTTCATTTTTCTGGCAGAATAAATATGAACACTTTGAACACCTAACTTGCTGATGCACAGGTAGTTCTGAAAGCCAGTGATTTTGCTTTGCCTTCTGCCAAGAGGCAAAAATAATTTCACTCTTGAACTCTGTGTTAAGTGTTGACCCACGTGAGGTACTCACACATACACCTGCACTAACAATCTCCACCAGGCAATTCTCTTTGCTAAGGGTTCATTCTAAAATAATACTTTCATTCCACCTTTAGTTAAACCCCCACTTTAATAGTCCATTACTTTTTTAATATCTATTTCTATACATTTACAGTAGCTGTGTGTCTGTGTATTTGTCAACATAATAAGATAGCTATGCTTTGTTGGTCAGGGTGATTTCTTGCATTGGGGAAGCACCTCATATGTTTTTCAGAGACATAATAATAATCTTATCCTTTCTTACCTCTTGCCCAGATAACAAGTGTTCTTCTATTTCTTCTAGCTAGCACTGGAATTCCTAATGCACTTATCATGGATTTATTTTCGAGTAAGCAGAATTCCTTCAGTAGAATGGAACACATCTTTAATTCTAGTATAGCAGTCATTTAGCTTAATTATATCTTCAGAATATAAAAGAAATGCACAATTTCATGAAGTACAAATTTTTAAAATAGAGAATGAGTTTATTACCGTCTTATTGGCAGGTTTCTGTCACTTCTGATGAAGTCCTTAGGTAACAGCCCTAAGAATATCACATAGGCTATTTGGCTAAGAGCAATCTTTAGAAGGAAAGTTAGAATCAGCTAAAAAGGAAATTATTTGTTGTTACCTGGTTTGCAGTTTCAGATTTTTGCTTGATGCCTCTGCCAAGAGATTGTTTAGTCCTTTAAAGCTGTTTGCACATCTGAGCTTGAAAGTTGCCCTTTTTCTGCTACAGACACACACAGTGTGTATCCAATAGAACTGTTGCTAAGTTCTCTTTGGATGGCTTGTGTCTCCGTACTTATACTGTACTGCCTCTGGACCCTTTATGCAAATAGCTGTGAGGTAATTTGGATGATGTGTTGTTTTATTTTTTTTTCTACTGATGTCAGAAATCTGCATTTTGAATGCATTTTAAAACTCTGATAGTTATTTGCTGACCTCTGTAAATCCATGTTTGACTCCTAGAAATTGCTGTTTTTCCATTCTCTAAAGAGATTATGTTGAATTTTGTGTAACACAGCATTGAGAAAAGGAGGTTTTTCTCTGCTTAACAAAAAGAAGCTTGTGTCTCCTTTATTAAGCAAGCACTGTGCAGCAAATGCAGAGAGGGAGGTAATTTATTAAGCTAAGGAAGAAAAACAATTAAAAAATGTAATGGATTATATTTAAATAAGTTTATACCATGGGTTCTTATTCAGAATGACACTATACAGTTTTTGGCTCACAATTCCGTATTTTCTTGGCATAAACAGTACATTAGAATATGGGGTGCATAGCATTAGATATTAAAACAGCAGTTATGTTGCTGCTATGTGCTTAAAAAAAATTACACTGTTTAACTAAAAATAAGACTCTCTCCTTTAACCCGTCTGTCTATTTAAGATAGTCTTCCACACAGTACCACTAAAACCAGATCATGCAGGGGGCACAGATAAAGAGCTAGTGATTCTTTTATAATCTTAGTGATCCTGGTGACAGTATGTAGAACTAAAGCTGGAATACGGATTGCTCACAGTATTGAAGCAATTCAGGATTCTTTTATTGTTACTACATGGAAAGTTTCAACCATGTGAAGCTGATGTTTTTCTGCTTTCCCATTTAGTACCATTGTCATGAACACAAACCCACCTTTGTATGTCATTCTCATCACTGCCATCAAAGTGTTTAAGGTAAAATTTGTCTTCAGAAGTAAGTAGTGACAAAACCCAACAACCTGTCACCATGGCTTGAGAACACCTTTCTTGGTAGGACTCTGGCATTTTAGCAGCTCTCTAGGGTGCTGTGCACAGTCTGAGACAGAAGGCATTTTTGGGATACTCTTAAAAGCACTGCACTTAAAAGTGGATCAGTTATGCTTATAGGTAATGATGTGGGTCCTTATGTAGCCTGTAAAATTTCCTTAAGGCAAAAGGCATTTTGTTTCTGAACATGTGATGGAAATACCATATAAAACTAAAAAAGGGTTGTCAGTTGTTCTCTATCAACATGACTTATTACCCATCAGAATTTAACAAAAACTCATCATCTTACAGAGTTTTTTCCCCCCCACCCCATTCAACTTTATATGATGGATCAGAAAATACACAAGAAGAATCTTGTTTTCAGTTCTTTAGGAAATGAAAGCTGACTTAGTGAGGTGACTTCCGTGGAATGCAGCCATTACCTCAGTCTTATTCCATAAGAATGTGGTCATCTCCTGAATTTTGTCTTAACATCTCAGGAAAAATGTATCAGTAATTGTATATAGATGTGCTTTTTGATATTAATTACCCTGATGTAATTTGTCTTGGATGTCAGTGCACTTGCTCCAGATTTGCAGTGGGGACAGAGATTGGGGCTTACGGCATTATAACTGCATTATAACTGCATATATAACAATTATATTTAAAATGGAATATATTTTCCTTCTTGTTTGGATTTCAAAGGGAGTTTGAGACATCATGCACCTTATATGCAGAACAAATCTGTGGATTTATGAAGATGTTGTCTTTGCCAATCTAAGACCATATCAATATTGTTTTCCTGAGTAGGCATCAGAACCAAAGATCTGCAAGGCAATTCAATTCAAAGATCAACAGGCAATTTACTATAGTGAGCCAGTAAACAATGACTGGGCAACTAAGTCACTCATCCAAAGCAAAGATCCCTGTGAAGACAGTTCCTATGTATTTTTAGTTTTAAGCAATGCACTAGGGCTTGACAGGAATGTAAGGAATGCTGGAAAGTGTTTTAAATGCTTTCATTAATATCAGAGTTGCTTGTTTAACAAAGCAATAGCTGTCTGTAGCTTAGCCCCAGATTTGGCCTAACAAAATGCCTAATCCAGAGTCCACTGAAATCAGCCACATTTCTCCTTTAATTTAAGTGGGGTGAGCCTTAGAACTTGTCTGTCTCTGACTTGAAATGATCCTCATATTGAATTGAATTTCAAAAAATCTTCTCACACTTTGAAGCATGGCTCTTGAAAAACATAGACGAGAAAAGAGAAGGTTAAACAGCTGAAACATTTTCACATATAGAAAATCATATGAGCAAATTAACTCAAGTAACAGCTAAGAATTTGATATTAAAAATAGCCTCCCATATGAATGTATTTTGTTTTAGCACTGAGTGAATGAGTCAGATTTCACTTGTGATACATTCAGTTGACACACTGAATTTCTCAGCTACCTAGAAATGACAGTATAGCTAAGACTTATGTTTTGGGACTTTGTATGACTGCAATTTAATAAATCTGCATTTGCCATATATATCCAATGTGCAAATCCTCATAATATGTAATTATGAGCTGGAAATAAGTATTAGCGTGTAGTTCTCCCTCCAGTCTGAAATAAATCTGGAGAGCACAGAAGGCTTGCATGTGTAGTTCCAGCTTAGATACAGCAGGAGCTGCTCCATGCAGAAGCCTCTTACTGAGTCTTGTAGTGCATGTGCAGTAATGGCCAATGTATGAGACTGTGCAGTCAATGCCCAGTCTGTCACCTAACCCTTGGTTACCTTCTTTTTAAGACTCTCCAACCATCATAAACCAAACTGTGAATTTCTCTGGACAAGCTAATGGGTCTTCTTCTCCATTATGCTATTTCTAGCTTAGTCAAATATTAATGCCATAGATTTGGGAACTGCTATTGCATCAGTCACCGTGAACCTCATAAGGAATTACATTTACTTCACACCAGCTGCTTGGCATTTCCTGGCTGTAGTAACTCCGTAAGATCTCTTATGGTATGACACCTGAGCTTAAAAAAATTAATATATTGACCTATAAATTAAAGTGGGCATTGATGGAATGGGAACTGCATTTTTAAACATGTCTTTAGAAAAGTGAAACAAAACTATGAAGTTGTTAAGAATTCTGTTGCTGGCTCTCTACAATTCTTTCTTGACAAGCTGCTTAAGCCAAGAATACCTTCTAAATAAATAAAAGAAAAAGGATGTTTTCATCATATGGTTGAAGACTTCAGTAATTCTGAATAACTTCTTAATCTTACTTAATTACATTTTTTTCTTCAGTTAATAATACTTTCTGTATTCTTTTTAACATAGAATATTTGGAGCACATTAAGCATTGTGACTATCTGTCACATAGAGTTTATCTCTTCCACAAGGCAAGAAGGGTGTGAAATGAATTGGTTTGCTTTGGTGGGATTTTTTAAAAATTGGATTGCATGGATAGCTAGGTTGCTGTCTATGTATTGTGAAGAAGCAAGGTTAAAAATTTGTCTTGCCCTTGGTGCACAAGGTGGGGTTTGTATCAATCGTTATTTTCCAGTGGAGTTTATCTGCAGATCTTGAGCCATTCCCTTATTCCCAATGGGAAATTCTCTTACGTGCAGAGACCATCAGGCAACCAGGAGCAGTTAGGAAGTGCTAGAGTCAGCAGATCTGAGCAGTCTTCTTAATGCATATATTTGGGGCACTGGTTCCTCAACAGCCCTGCCAGGAAGCCGGTCTCAAAGTTCAGTGGATTTTTTTTTTTCCCCCAGCTGAAATGTATTTACAAAGCATTTTGAAAAAGCGTTTTCTGACAGAAACTTGTTTCTGTGGTACATCCCCAGTCAGCTGTTGCAGATGGGATGTTTTTATTAAACTGTCAGCTCCAGCCCTCTAAATTGCAGATTTAGAGGAACAGATTTGCAAGACAGGCAATACCTTCAGTCCCATAATCTCTGTATTTACAGTTACCAATACCCCCATCCCAAACACAGCTAGCGTCAGTCTCTGGTCAAAATGTTGTCCAGATAT